AACAAGAGGACGACCGCGGAAAATACGGATCGACAACATTAAAGACACTCTACGCCTTCACGGCATGACAATAGCCAGTGGCAGCCAAATTATTCCTCCTCACGACGCTTAACGGCAAAAGTGGTTAATGATGTTGATAGCACAGAATATACAAAACATTTGAGAGAGAGAGAGAGAGAGAGAGAGAGAGAGAGAGAGAGAGAGAGAGAGAGAGAGAGAGAGAGAGAGAGAGAGAGAGAGAGAATAATGCACTACTGGAAGAACTGAACACATAGCAATTAATTACTAATGAGACAAGTGAACACAACACAAACTCTGGCTTACCGTTAAAAACTACTCCCAGAGAAAAAGCAGCAGCAGATTTTCATTAAGTACACAGAGAAGCTGGACACCGTCAGCTGACTGTAGCCTTCTGAGGTCAACTGACAGTCACTGACCTCGCCCCTAGTGTGCTCTACAGTCACAAGACCAGATCCAGCCAAGTGGTGCGAATCGTGTAGGGGCGCGCGCGCGCGCCGAGTCGTGCTGACTGTACACAACGTACAGCAGACCCATATCTGTATGTTTAATTGAGGTGTTATTTCAACTTTCGACCTATATATTTTGAAATGCTGTGGTGATAGTTTCACAGCGTAGTTCAGGTGTGAAAGGGCACCGATACCAGAAAACCAAGGTACGGAGTTGCTGTTTGTGTGTTTGTTACTGTGTTCTCAGTGGCGACGTTGTTAAACCGTTCTCCTTGTGCTCTGAGGGTCGTAGGTTCGAGTTTAGACACCGCCCTTCGGTTCGCGATTGCAGGTGCTTTGGTTTCGGCTGCTATGGAGTTTGTGCTTTATGTAACGTTCTTGCGGTCGACAACAATCCCCCCCCCCCCCCGCCTCCAGACACATAGGTAAAAATGGACGCAACTAAGTCGATGGCTCGCCATCTTCAACACACAAGTCTAGGATCGCTAGCTAGTTAAGTTGATTTCAAAATTAGTTATTTGCGTATCCCTTACAGGACGTTGCAGAACCAACCCCAGCACTTTCTGGCTGTTGTTTTTCTAGGCAAATTTACGTCCAGTAGTTTGCGATTGCTTTCTGGACGGTCTGCTCTCGGTACCACGGTCAAAACCATCGCAAGACAAACCGTCCACAGCAGGGATAGAACCCGGCACCCTGACACTACGAAGCGCGTTCGCAACGCCTAAGCCACAGATGCCGACAGTTAAGTTGATCCCAAGTTATAGTTTTCCCCGGGAAGGAAACACGGAGATGTGTACTTTCAATGTGGCACCTGACAATGATGAGCACGTACTCCAACACTGTAAACGTATGCTGCTAACAGAGAAACATTCTGGCTGACCCAAGCTCAGTCAAGACAATGTTGTATGGCACACTGTGAGTTTATTATTCTTTGCTAGCTTTCATCAAGATTACTGGCCTCCTGGTATAGGTTTTACTAACAAAAGGATTGAACAAGAAGAAGATAAAGAAGAAGAAGAAGAAGAAGAAGAGGAGACAAAAGAAGAAACACTAAACGGTTATTGCTCTTTATGCCGTGCCCCAAAATGATACATCTGATTAGTTAGTTCGTCGACAGATTATCCTCACTGAAAATCGAACCATTTAGTCCATAAGAGTTTGGATCCCCTCCTCGGTAAATCCCGCAGCAGACAAATCCCGCTCTGTGTTGGTTTTCTATTCTTCTTTGGCTTACTGCATAGTGGTCTTGTCTGGCCACACCTCCTCTAGTATGTTGTTCTTGCAGTCTGGTCATGGTTGCAGATCCACAGTAATTCACTTGGTTCTCGCAAACGTTTTACTTCTCGTAGAGTATTCAGAATAGCGGCCTTGTCAATGGCTGGTCTACCTTCCACAGTAGCTTTACTTATCAGCATGTTCGTTTCCTTGCACGCCTGCATTCCTGTCAGGAAGTTTAAAAATATCGACACCGATAGTTATTTATAGTTTTCAAGTGACGTCACACGCGTAGCTCCGTTTAGGCTTCGTATTCCCCAACCATATATAGATGTCGAGTATACTCGACTGTGGGACGCTACGAGGTGGGCGGCAGAAGTCCAATATACTCGACTGTGCAGGAGGTGAAAAGAAACCTACGCAATTTCATGATTTCCTCGTGCAAAGTCGCATTCTTAGTGACCTGACGCTAAAATAAAAAGTCGGTCGAGGTTGTTTAGTTAAAAGCGATTCCACAAATGAGTGTTGAGTTATTGTATCATAAAGCTAGCTTAGAAAAGCTGATATAGACATCCATTTCGAAATGAATTTGAGATGCAAATTTATAAGTATGCAGGTTACCGTTTTAGTGTACCAGCACTTTCTCAGGGAATCTAAGATGGGTCATTTATATTGTGATATTCATGCCCCAGAGAAACGAACACGATTGGCGCTTGGTCTGGATAGAGCACCATGTAACCGCTGGATTAGACAGGACACAGAGTACGCTCATGTCTAGAAAGGAAGGACAAGAAACGTTGACGACTTGGATGTAGATGTCATTAGACGTGAGATCTTAAAAATGTTAGAGGCATTTCAACCTGTTACTCTCCGAAAACTGAAATTAACAGTGAGATCACAATGCAGTATGGACATTTCAAAAGAGTCCTCATTTCTGGAAGGAAAAAGTGTGTTGAACATGTGCTCCGAGATTCAGATTCTGAATTATTAAAACCATTTTTTGATGAGTGGTTGAATATCATCAACCCGTTAGGTACATCTGCAATTTCAACAAATACATCTCCATATCGAAATGTGTCAACCATAATACAATTTGCTGTTCAGTTAAGATTCACCGTGGGGTCTAATGGTGACCGCAGGGGAATACTAACTGTTGCATATTGGGGACATGTTTACAATGGGACAAGGCAGACAGATTGGCTGCCTTGGCACTTCTGGGTGGTGATGATACATGACAAGGCAGATGTGGTCAAGGCCCTTTAGGATCAAGTAATGAAGTCAGAAGAGAAAAAAAAAGACTATCTTGGCATGGAGAGAATGATACACCTGGGTGTGACCAGAGAGCCTGCCCGGCACACTACACTCAGAGGAATGGCAAGATGGACATATAATCAGACTGTGTCCGGTACCAGTAGCATTGGAACTCTGTGCTAGCTGTTGAAGATGGGGACGGGGCGCATATAGGAATGCTCCGAGTGCTATGATGTATTTCTTGACCCAGCTTAACTCAACTCAGTTGAACATAAATGACAACAAATTAATTTACTACACCTATCAATGTATTTTGAAGACACGCCTCTGATTAAAAAAAAAATAGAGCCGGAAATTCAGATTTTTACTGTAAAATCTAAAAATTCACTCCACTTATTTACCAGGGGTCGAAAAGAGCAAAGGAATTGGCTGGTATTCAGCATCCTGAGCATCTATGAGCTAAAGATATGTCATGGATATTCTAAGGCTGCATGCAAACAAATCGTTGCGATCTAACAGGCAGTTTTCGAGAAAATGGCTTGCAAGTGTCTTTATGAGATGTTGGAACGAACTATAGTCACTGATGACAGCCACTGTGACCTATAAACTATGACAGATGACCTTCATTTATATGTCAGAAAAGGCGAATGACTTGAAAAGCAGGTAGGAAGATGAAATACTGGCTGATCAGCGAGTGGACGCAAGTATTGACAAGCTGTTATCTATAATCATGTATCTACGACCATCTACTACTGACAAACGAGACGAATGCGTACAAACAAATATCTACAATCTATGACTGTCTTCAAACAGCACTGTTCAGTCTACGGACCTGTTCACGTTTTCGGCCCATCTACACACTTTCTGAGTCTGATCTAGGTCAGAGGGATGTCACGCTGTGCTGCTTTCTCCGAGAAGAGTCTGTCGTGGGACCTAGGCTCAGACTGTGGGTGGGGGGGGGGGTGGGTTGAGTTAGGACCAGGTCTACATGTTCAGGGGTCGTTGAAAGCTGTGTCGTCGTGTAGTATAGAACACGTGACGTCGGCGATGATGTAATTGGAGGCAAAACAACGTGACACACCTCCGACGTAGAAGAGTCAGAGAAAGTACCAATGAAATGTCAGACAGTGTGTAGATGGGCCGGGAAACTTGAACTGGACCAGGTCTACAATCAATAAATGTCTACACATGCAAACGTCTTCAACCGACGTATGTCACGTGTTACATTTCTGTAATAAAGCAACTAATACCGTATCATTTTAACAATTACAATTTACACAAACAATGTTGACCAAATGGAAGAAGAAAGTTTTAGTTTAAAAAACAAAAGTTGGTTAATAAAGTCTGTTGGTCGCAGAATGTTTGTATATTCCGCGAATAAGGCGGGCCTCCAAGATAAACGGGCAGAAGTCGTGGTGTAGCGGCTAGACACTCGCATGTGGATGCGAAGGTCGTGGGTTCGGGTTCTGACGGAGCCGGACTTTTATATTTTCAAAAATGACCTTGACTTAAACGAACACTAGCTGAAGCCCTGGAAAGTAAAGGCGGCCGGAGTGATGCTGACCACACCACCTCACAACTCGAGTGCCGATTGGTCTATAAAGTACAGGTCTAGCACTATATGCCCAAAAGACACGGAGGCGTGGGAAACAAAGGTCCAAGGTAAACGAGCCGTTTGGTAATAGACAGATTTTCAGACCAAGGAAGAAAAAATCCGTCATAGCCAGATTGTGACCACACCACTGAAGCAGTAATATCTTGGAAATCGATTCATCAACATGCACGATATTACACGTGCCCACGGATGCTAACAAAGGGTACCAAAAAAACAATCATACACGCACTCAATCTTCCCACAAACACTTGCAATGTACGCACACAATAATAATTTAAAAAAAAAAACTACCTAACATAACACACATAATGTCCACATACACACTGATGGGAAACAAGAGTACAAGACCGCATTTAATGTCTACAGACAAACTAAAGACAAAAAGCACAAAGTAAAAGAACATATACAATGTCCACACAAACATACACATACCCACACACAAGCGGCCTTACCTTCAGTTTCCTATATCCTTTCTTGGAGAGCATCATCTCTGCGAAATTACGCGACTTAAGTTTCTAAAACTCTTGCTCTTACCCAGACACAGACCGCTACAGTCTCCAGGTCATTAACAGTAGCAACTATATATCACCGAAACGGCAAATATTTGCACTTTATAGTTCAATAAATATGATCACAAACAACCACTTCCTGTATTAATTTGTGGATAACTAACTACAAATGGCAAATTGCACTGCAGTAAAAACTATATATATATATATATATATATGCACACACACAATTTTACAATGAACCGCAAATCTTTCGTTGCAAACAGTATAGATACATACGACTAACATAAGTAATTGCTATCAAGTGTGAACAGTAAAACAAAAACAAAAAAAAATTATTTATCTCTGCAAAAAACACTCTAATAAATTTGGGATAGGGGTCTTGGGATAAGGGTCTCTTAACAGTGGCATGGTTTAATTAACCAATGTAGTTTTTATGCAGATCATGGAGGATTATCAGCGCAGCTGCAGAGCTTATCTCTCGTCGGTGACAATAGAGAACAGACTACAGTATTCTGGTGACTTTTTTAAACGCTGTTCGCCAACTATGATGCTAAGAAAACTAACATATCTGGCCAGAGATAATTCTAGGGTAGGGTTGGGGGAGCTCCTCAAACGTCCGGTGATCACATACATGATTTACCTCTCTGCGATATCTAAGAGAAGGAAGGGGTATCTCATAGAACCTCCCATGGAACGCATGGGTGCTGAACCGCACGTGGTGGTCCAACACGACCAGGGCTCATACACGTTAGAACCTATCTATACCTTTCCGCGCCCATCTTAGAAAAAGGCTCCCAGTGGGGGGGGGGGGGGGGCCCTGGCCACCATAGATAGGATCGACATTTTATTCCAAGTTGGAGTGCACCTCCCTGAAAGGCGAGGCACTAACAGTTTGCACATAAGTAAGCCAGTTCTGAAAACGGATGTGCACGCACAATTCACACGTGATGGAACAAAACGAAAATCCACAAGCAGCTGAACAGACAAGACTTTCTGCCGCTGTTAACAACAGGAGAATAAGAAGAAAAAGAAGATGAGGAGGAGGAGAGAGAAGATGAATCTCCCACAATGTAGGTCAATGAGTGGAAGATGCAATAACAGTTATGAGAAAAAGAAGATAACAATATATTAAACAATAATAAGGACAAGCTGTCATAGAATCATTAAAGATACACTGAAATGGGAAACACAAAAACGAGAAACTCTGAAACGAAAGTTGTGGAGAGAGGCCAAAGGTGTTGACAGGATTCCATCCCTGATATCAAAAGTACCCATGGAACGGAAAAAGGGCTAGTATGTTAGCACTCTGCGCGACGTGAAAACGCAGGACATGATTGTGACGATAACCACGGATAACATCATTATCATGTGCCCTGACAAATAACACAAACATGATTAAACCACCGTACTAACACTGGCACCAAAAGCATCCTGAAACGATCGCCGCCGAGGAAATCCAAACTCGAATTCTTTAAAAAAATCGAAACATTAAGATGTAGGGGAAGACCGAGAAAAATATGGATTGAAGGAGTCAATGACACCTTGGGGCTGCGTAACATCACGGAATATCTAGGGACCAAGCGCACCTTAGCTCGGCTGCCAATCGTTTGATGAACATGGCGGCATAAGCAGATATTGCAAAAGAAGAAGAAGAACTTTTCAAACAAAACTTCCACATTAAAACACGACATCTAAAATCGCCTGTGTCTGACGATAAACAGACGAAATCGCGATCGCAAAAGCTCCACAAACTACTGAGACTCAGGTGTTCGTTTGCATCATTCAACTTCACCAGAATCTCCTCTTACTTGTGTTACGCTTCAGTGACCCCCAAGCTCCTTGAATCTAGTTCCCATAGGCTGATAACAAAGATACTCCACTCAAGCTTCCTCGCTCGTCTCTCTGTATATATTATGTAAAGCATAACTTGACTATACAGTTCCCAACGCCATACACCCCCCCCCCCAAAAAAAAAAAATAACCCCCCCCCCCCCCCCCCCCCCACGACTTTCGCGGCGGCAATAAGTCTCAATCCAGATTCAATAGCAGATGTAGCTGTGGCTTGTAGGAACAGACCTCTAGAAGTTGGTAACCGTGATCGATTCCAATCCAGACCGTTGATGATGACTGTATCTCAACCCAGTCGGCGAGTCGGAAGAGTAGCCAAGACCTGACCGCGAGCCACACTGGTCGGTTTCTGTGAGGACTTCCGGGTCAAGCCTGTCCACAGACAGGGGTTCCCAGTCTGGCTAAAGTCGCGAGGATTGCTTTGCCTCTCCGCAGATGTGACATGTGAGTCTTCCACAGAGGTGACATGTGACAGTCTTCCACAGATGTGAGTCTTCCACAGATGTGACATGTGACAGTCTTCTACAGATGTGACATGTGACAGTCTTCCACAGGTGTGACATGTGACAGTCTTCCACAGATGTGACATGTGACAGTCTTCTACAGGTGTGACATGTGACAGTCTTCCACAGATGTGACATGTGACAGTCTTCCACAGATGTGATGTGACAGTCTTCCACAGATGAAAGTCTTCCACAGGTGTGACATATGACACTTCCACAGATGTGACAGTCAGTTTCTACAGATGTGACAGTCTTCCACAGATATGACAGTCTTCTACATGTGACAGTCTTCCACACAGATGTGATGACAGTCTTCTACAGTGAAACAGTCTTCTACCTTCCACAGATGTGACATGTGACAGTCTTCTACAGATGACATGTGACAGTCTTCCACAGATGTGACAGTCTTCTACAATGTGGTATGTACAGAACCTTGACAGTCTTCCACAGATGTGACATGTGACAGTCTTCGACAAATGTGACATATGTGACATGTAGTCTTCCACAAGAGATGTGACAGTCTCTTTCAAATGTGACATGTGACCTTTCCACAATGTGGACATGTGACAGTCTTCCACAGATACAACACGTGTGATATGACAACAGTCTTCGACGATGTGACAGTCTTCCACAGATATGACATGTGACAGTCTTCCACAGATATGACATGTGAAAACCTTCCACAAATGTGACATGTGACAATCTTCCCAAAATGTGGTATGTAAGAACCTTCCACAAATGTGACATGTGAGTCTTCGACAAATGTGACATATGATAGTCTTCCACAAATGTGACAGTCTTTTACAAATGTGACAACCTTCGACGATGTGACATGTTATAGCCTTCCACAAATGTGATATGTGACAACCTTCCACATTGGTGACAATCTTCCACAGATGTGACAGTCTTTAACAAATGTGACAACCTTCCACAAATTTGACAATCTTGCACAGAAGCGTTATACAGTATCACAGGGACCTCCTCTTAATAGCACAAGGCGTGGCAGTATTGTAGGGACCATGCGTTATTCCTGCAGCGTGGTCCCTCCCTAGGTCTGTCTCAACTCCAAAGGATAGGTAACACTAATACGTTGAGAAACAACATTTACAAGTAGTGGCCGTACCTACAGAAGCAGATGCCAGCAGCAAAAATTACAGCACAGACTTGAAATAAATAAAACTGAAACAGTCTGGCCTGGGTGGGAAAGCATCGCCCTAAAATGACGACTGCCCTTCACGAACAGAAAAAGTTTACTAATTAGTGAGGCCAAAACTTATGGCTTCATCCACCAATGCACCAGGTCTGGCAACTGTACCACAAATGGCCGTAAAAGGATTTGTATCAAAAGGGGCATAGAAGCCGCATCTGTCGTATGTCAATAAAAAAAAAAAGGTATTTGTACAAGCCCAGGTTGTGGGTAGATATGCGAACCGGACCCATGTCAATCTATAGCTGTGTGTTTGCTCAAGAGACCTGGTTAAGTTCCCATTCTGTGTGGCTTCACGACAGACTGATGTTGAGACCTTTCTGCTTTCACGACAGACTGAGATTGAGACCTTTCTGCTTTCACGACAGACTGATATTGAGACCTTTCTGCTTTCACGACAGACTGAGATTGAGACCTTTCTGCTTTCACGACAGACTGATATTGAGATCTGCCTGCTTTCACGACAGACTGATATTGAGATCTGCCTGCTTTCACGACAGACTGAGGTTGAGATCTTCCTGCTTTCACGACAGACTGATGTTGAGATCTTTCTGCTTTCACGACAGACTGATGTTGAGACCTTTCTGCTTTCACGACAGACTGATGTTGAGATCTTTCTGCTTTCACGACAGACTGATGTTGAGACCTTTCTGCTTTCACGACAGACTGATGTTGAGATCTTTCTGCTTTCACGACAGACTGAGATTGAGACCTTTCTGCTTTCACGACAGACTGATATTGAGATCTGCCTGCTTTCACGACAGACTGATATTGAGATCTGCCTGCTTTCACGACAGACTGAGGTTGAGGTCAGGAGCGACAGACCCCGAAGCGTTGGCTTCTTGAGCACCCAAACCAAAACTGATTTAAAAAAAAAAAAAAGGGGGGGGGGGTGTTTTAAATTAATTCTGGAAGATGTCTAGAATGCCACACCCCCTGCCCTCCCCGAAAAGATCTGTTTATTTTTTTTTAATAGATACATTATTTCGGGGGCCGCCTAGTGGAGCGGCTTTTGACTCCAAAAAAAAAACATGGTTTTTGGCAGGTTCTTAAAAAGAAATTAGGCTCTCAAATAGTTTTTTTAATCGCCATTGCGCTGATTTTTTTACCCTTTCAACTAAAGAGTTTGCCAAACTATTTATTTATCTATCTATCTATCTATCTATCTATCTATCTATCTATCTATCTATCTATCTATCTATCTATCTATCTATCTATCTATCTATCTATCTATCTATCTATCTATCTATCTATCTATCTATCTATCTATCTATCTATCTATCTATCTATCTATCTATCTATCTATCTATCTATCTATCTATCTGTGCATACGTCTAATTTCTCTAATCAGTATACAGTAGTCATGTGCCTCGAGGAGGACTATCATATCATATAAAAAAATTATTATTTGAAGCATA